TTCAAGAGTTTTGTCCAAATGTGACCCGAAGTCAATTGATCTCTGATCGGAAAGGCAATTAATAGATTGTTACACTTTAAATACAGAAATATCTTTGAAATAAATATATTATTCAACCATGATTACTGAACGATTATAACGTAACTGTAATTTAATACTTGCATTTCAATAATTACCAATACCATCTGATTTAAAAACACTCTATTGACGAGTTGCTATGTTGCGTTGCTATAACTTATTGATTGGTAATAATGTAGGATTGATAAGAATAGTGATTTTATTTATAACTATCTTATATAATACAAATTATTCTTTCTGTATACTAGTCGAATATTTAAAAATGCTAAAACAAACATTTAATTGTATGACAGGCATATACATGATTTAAAGAGGCAAATTTGAAAGACGAATCCGATTGTAAGTACTACAGTATCTAAATTTGACCTTTTTCTCACTAAATTAAGATTTGCGCTTACATCAATACTATTTGTCGATGGAATGTAATGTTAAAATTGACCTACTGAATTAGACTTATCACCAGGTTTATACTACATGAGCAATATGACGGGTGTCACATGTGGAGCAGGATCTGCTTAATTTTCAGGAGCACCTTGGTTCAACCTCAGTTTTTGGTGGGGTTTGTGTTGCTCAGCCTTAAGTTTTCTATGGTGTGTTTTGTTTACCGTTGTTTGTCTTTTCCCTTTTTAGCCATGGAGTTGTCATTTTATTTTCGACATATGAGTTTGAATGTCCTTTTGGTATATTTCGCCTCTCTTTTAAAAGATTTCGCCTTAAAACGCATATTGCATGTTCTATTTGCAAAGGTTATACAACGTACATTACTTTGCTTATGATCAACATAATAACGTTTATAAAACGATACGACTTTAAATGAAATTCCTAAAGATTTCGTTCAAACTTCTAACTAATCCAATACCCCTTTTTGGGAATCATATTCATATTACAGATTATATTTCAAAAAAATTGTCTAGTCGACCTTTAAATATACAATAAAGTAAGAGCTAGTTTTAGCGAATGGGGGTGAAAAGTATTATTTTCATTCCTCAATATTAAGGAGTTTGTCTGGAAAATATGGCTGAACTAACTCAAATAAGTATGCCGATGTCGCTCCATTCAATATTTCATTTAACAGTATAAAGTTATGTTTATTTCGTCCATTCTGAAGACTTTCCATTTCTAATCCTTATTCAATGTAAAGTTTATGTTGTAGGAATTTAGCCGTAGTCCAGTAAAAATTCTAGCAGCTGCTTTTATAGTCACATTTTCAAAGTAGCTCGGACTCATGTTGAGAGCAATTGCTCCAACAAACACCACCATACTCTAAAATAGGTATAATAAAAGCATAGTAAATATGTACAAGTGAACTCCTGTCTGATAAATGTTTAACCTGTCGAAGTACAGATAAGCGAGAGCATGATTTTAAGATCACCTGGTCAATTTTTAAGAGAAAAAAAATTTTCCTATTTTAAGTTATAATCGATAGAGAGAAATTTTATACAGCAAAAATTATCAGCAAGATCTACAAATAAGTCAAAGTGGCCAACATCGTCAGTCGACTCCTTATTGGAGTAATGGCTCTTTAATGACGATTTAACCAATTTTGTGGGTTTATGTCTATTACATGTATCTTTATTCCAGTTGCCAATTCATCTATAATCCTGCTGGCTACGTCATAACTGATGACTTTAACATTGTCAACAACACTTCTCTACCAAACGAGTTAGCAAAATGGCTATTATACCATTAGCCTAAATCCTTAAACTTGAAACACGAGAGTTAATGAGGTATTAATTCAGTCGAGGTTTATGCCAAAAAGGACAAAACGTGTAAGAAGGACTCTTTCCGAGTTGGTTAAGGATGTTAAGTTAAGTCGTTGATAAATAAAAAAAATGATTAAAAAAGTCATGGTTGATGATCATTCGTTCTACTTCATGGTAAATGTGTTGTTGTCACTGCTGACATTGTATACAACAACATAGTGTGTTGTGTAATAAGAAATAGGATGAAGACAGAAATTTGGATATCTGTAAAACTGAGCCTTATATATTGTACAAACACTCGCCTATTGTAGAAAACTGTATGTTTCATTCTAGATTTCTTTTAATTAGTGTTATTGTTGAATTGCTGCTTAATTGATGTATTCCAAACGTCTCACCATTTTTGTATAAATATGAAAGAGATTTACAACATTGAAATCATGATTTACCATATACAGGTTTTTGTAGTGATCGTGACAAGAAGTATGCTATTCTAAATTTTATCAGTTATTTATCGAATCTGGGGATTTTGTCATATTCTTTCATGAAAAATAATACAGAAAAGTAATTTTTCCTTAATCATTTGTGATACATATATTTGTTTTTCTCTATAGACTTATTCTTAAAAAAGGTTATGATTAGACTGCTGTTGTTTAATCATTGCGACTAATATTTTTTGACATGATCAACCATTCAACAATAACTCGTGGTGTGAGTAAAACATAAAATACTATATGTTTTGCTTGTTTTTGGTTTTACAAAAGATAGTTTCTTAAGGTTAAGGAAGAGTAAATTGGTTATGTCACAGATTTTGGTAAAGGTTTGCATACAGCTTTGGCTCGTTGAACTTAGATTAAATAATCATATGGTCACAGACTTTAGTTGTTACCTATTAGGTTGTGAAAAAGGTCAAAAATCGAAGTTTTACGGCCTATAAAGCGTTGGCTTTACAATTATGTCGACGTTTGTGGTACTTTTTCACCTAGAAAACCATGAAGAATACCGTTAAAACGAAGTCGGTGACGCTATTATTATTTTACATCATTAAAACGGAAATTAATGTACCAACAACATATAGTTTCTTAACAAAAATATATAGATTTGAAATTTTAAATTTTATGACTTGAAAACAAATTTAAAAACGTTGTTTGCTGATTTATGTGCTTTTACACAAATGTTGCCCTATTTTGAAAGAATATTTTAGAAAATAAAAGAGAAAAATGCATTGTTTTTTCGATTTTTTAGTTAAACTTTAACGAGCAAAAGTGGTACGAAAAATTTAAACAAACTCTTTGACATGGCCCATTTACTGTAACTTGACCTTTAGTAACTGTTTATGAAATGCATATGAGGTTTCAATTTAAAGTGCAGCCACCGATATTATTTGATATCAGCAATCAAGTATACTTTTAGACTTAGATCATTCTTTGAAACAATTATGCAATTATTTGTCCATATACCAGCTTTGATTATTTGGTATTTAATCACTACAAATTTTCACTTCTTCGTACTATGAACATCAAAATTATTTCATTTTTCCTTAGATGCTGTTCTTGGACCTGTACAGGAAGTTTTATCTAGCACTAATTGTATATTTATATTGTTGATATTCACACCATATGTACCAAGTGTTAGATTAGTTTTATTGATATTAAAGAAATTTCTTGGTATTCCTTAACGGAAGATTTTATACACACAGAAGAAGAAGTATACTTAACAACAAAATTATTTTCATTTACCTGTGTATAATATGACGCAGGTTTCTTCAAAAGTGATGATTTTCTATAAATTGTTTGAAATTTTACAGTGATATCATACGTTAACTTTGTTTAAACCTGTATATTTACTTTTGACTTTAAATATTTATCCCTTGTAATTTCTTATTAACTGTTTATTTGCATTCAGGTGTCACAGGTCAAATTTATTCGTTCATTGTGTATGTTAATTTACGTTTTTTGATTGAGTTGAGCCTTCCAATTGATATTTCATAGTGTGTTTTTCTATGTTGTGATGTTATACTACTGTTTCAGAAAAGGGAGAATGTTTGGTACCATTAAAACGTTTAATCCCGCTGCAAATGTTTGCACCTGTCCTAAGTTAGGAATCTGATTACAGTAGTTGTCGTCTGTTTATGTAGTTCATATGTGTTTCTCGTTTCTCGTTTTTATATAGATTAGACCGTTGGTTTTTCCGTTTGAATGTTTTTACACTAGTAATGTTTTGGGGCCCTTTATAGCTTGCTGTTCGGTGTGAACCAATGCTCCGTGTTGAAGGCCGTACCTTGACCTATAATGGTTTACTTTAATAATTTGTAACTTGGATGGAGAGTTGTCTCATTGGCACTCATACCACATCTTCCTATATCTAAATCTTAATTAATTGCTTTTATGTGTGCTCATTGGTCAAACATTATTACAAATTGGACGTCTTTTCCTTTACTGTTTTTCCGTTGGCTCTAGTTTCTAGTTACTAGTTTTGTTTTACTTAAATAGTGTTGTAATCGCTCTCAACATGCTTGTAATATTGCTTTTTTCGACATTACATTTCAAAATTACCCACCCAAGAAGTTCAGAAATAATTATAATAATGTTCCTAAATCTGTTTGACTAACTATTATATGACAATATTTATCGAGAACCTTAGACTTATACGACTTTGGATATTTTCATATCATTTTTTGCTTTGAAGTTTTCTTTTCTTTTCGTTTTATAATGAACATTAAGAAATTTCAATATGAAATTGGGATAAAGATAATATTTTAAACCAATTCATTATCACGATATCTAGTGGAATTTTTGTTTTATTAAATTCAAAGGTCGAAATGTTTTCTAAATTATCAAGTACCATCTTTAGATGTTCATTAGACAATATCTAATAAAGGAGGTTGTTTTCAGGTTGTATTTGTGGCGAAAGTACCGGTGGTGGATAAGAGATTGGTGCAATATCTTTGAAATAAAGATTTTGTTCAACTATGATTACTGAACGATTATAACGTTACTGTAATCTAATACATTTTTATAATTACCAATACCATCTGATTTAAAAACACTCTATTGACAAGTTTCCATGTTGCGTTGCTATAAATTATTGATTGGTAATTATATAGGAATGCATAAGAAAAAAAGGGACTTTATTTATAACTATCTTATATAATACAAATTACAAATTAATTCTAGTCTAACATTTAAAAATGCTAAAACAAACATCTATTTTTTATGATAGGCATATACATGGAATTAAAGAGGCACATTTGAACGACGAATCCGATTGTAAGTATCTACACTTGACTTTTTTCTCACTAAATTAAGATTATACTAACTATCGATGGAATGTAATGTTAACTGTGACCTATCGAATTAGACTTATCCCCGGGTTTGTACTAACATCAGCAACACGACGGGTGCCATGTTTGGAGCAGGATCTGCTTACTCTTCTGGAGAACCTGAGATCACCCCCAGTTTTTTTGTGTGGTTTGTGTTGCTCAGTCTTTAGTTTTCTATATTTTGTTTTGTTTACCGTTGTTTGTCTGTTTGCCTTTTTCTTTTTTAACCATGGCGTTGTCAAATATCATATATTTCTGTTTAAAGTGTACTCTGCTTATATTTTTTAATACAATGATTTTTTTTGTATTTAAGGCGACGTCGTAAGAAAAAGAAAAAAAGCTTGTGTCTTATCCTTTTCCTTGTTTTCTTGTTCACAAATAAAAAAAAACGAACTCCAAGGGAAATTCAAAATGACAAAATCAAAAGTTCAAACACATCTAACGAATGGAAATCAACTGACTTGGTGCAAGCATTTTCTTATGTAAAAAATGATGGATAAAACCTAGTTTTATAACTACCAGGGAAATTAAAACCTTTAGGGAGAGGTCAAAGATACAAAAGAATCATGCAAACTCCTAAGTCGAAGATAAACTGACAACGCCATGGCCAAAGAAAAATCCTTACAGACAAAAAACAGTACCCAAACACATTCAAAAGCTAGGAATGTACAAATATGTAAAAACTTTAGGAGCTATATGATACAAAAAAGAGAAGACCAAAATGTCTAAAGTTAATTATCCATGAGTGAGTTATATTATAAGTTATATGGTTTGCTACTGACCCCTACGGATCCAAAAAGGGTTAGTAAAATCCATAGGGGGTGAGGCCGAAGGCCGAATCTCCTTTTGATTTTACTCACCCTCTATTGTCCGTAGGGGGTCAGAAGTGAACCGTATAACGAATTTATCGCACGCGGGACTTTTCCTGCTGCGTTTAGTAGAAAAATGAACAATGAAATACAACATCAATAGATGACGTCCCCATTAACAGTAGATGTGACGTCATGAACCCCATATGAAATTTACTAAACCCCTACAGATCCATAGGAGGTCTGTGACGGCGTTAAACCATTCACAACGTCATAAATTACCCGCAGTGCGATAAAAATGTATAATAACGATATCAGTTCGTAAATTTGACAATAAGTAATAATCGCAGAGAATATGAAAATCCGTAATAAGACTTCGAAAAAGTGAAATATTTTGTTCGTAAAACCTATCCAATTAACACTAACAGTTTACAATTCTATTACAGTGAACATGAAGTGTAGTGTACAACGGGTCGTGAAAAAAAGAATCAGAGATAAGTGTTCACCATATTAAATCGCAAAAGGTAATTTTTTCTTCAGAAAAAGAAATACACTACATGAAACGTCGTATTACAAATTTGATTGATGATTTTGTGTTCTATACCAAGCTGATCACCGTTAGGACCTTTTCATTCAAATTAAATACATTACTTATATAGCGAAAATTAGATTAATAGTCTGGAATATTTTTTTTTTTAAATCATGGATTATTCATATTTAAGAAAAGCATAAAACTGCAAGTGGATGTGTAGAATGTCCATTAATTTGAATGTCACTTGAAATAAAAACAAAAACAAAAACAAACGAGCAAGCAAACAAAATAAATAACCATACATCCAAAGAATTCAAGAAATTTATCGATTACATAATCCAGCATTCTTACAATTTCTTCTTCTGACTAATTGAGAGTTGTTTGCCTTACGTCTAGTGGCCACTATTTCATGCATATTCAAGACGAGAACATATAAACAATATATACAAAAGGTAACTTCTGTGATAGACATCAACCGGAATGAACGATTGGGAATTTGGAATACCACTGGTAAATGAGGCTACATTGGACAGAGGAAGAATTTCAAACTTGAACAGTCCCACCCACGTATCCTTCAAAGACTTGCTTCAAGGGTTCCTAAAGTTCAAAGAGCCAATCACTCTCTCTACAGAAGTCATCGGAGTTCCCATTTTAATCGGACATGGATACGTATGTATAAATCCAAAACAACCAAAACGGACGCCAATCTTGGGCAAGGGTTTTACGACCGTTTGGAAGAAAACCAAAAGTAACAATATTTGAATTCTCGAGTCACCATTTGGTACTATTGGTTGATTTAATGTGACACTTGACAAAGTAGGTCTTTTGGGAACCAACTGCACTCTTGCCGTCTTGTTGCGTTATTCCTGTAAGGCTGACTCCATAGAGGAACTTCTTAAGACTGAAAAGAAGTTAGCATTATCCTTTTACTTAAAATCTGCTATAAAGATGACATCCTCTCACTGAATGCGGTATAATTTGCTGACTATGTTGAACGCATCTATCCTATCGAACCTGAGATAAAGGATACAACAGGTACAGCTAAGTCTGCCTCATATCTTGACTTACATCTAGAAATTGACAATGAGGTTGAAAACAACACTTTACGACAGAAGATATGATTTCAGCTTCCCAATTGTGAACTTTCCATTTCTATGTAGTAACATTTCATCAGCACCTGTATACGGAGTATATATCTACTAGTTAATACGATATTCTAGGGCTTGTGTTTACTATCATGATTTCTTGATAGAGGTATGGTGCTCACAAGGAAGCTATGAAACCAAGAGTTCCAAGTTGTGAAGTTTAAATCGTCCCTTCGTAAAATTTACGAAACATCACGAGTTGGTTGACCGTTATGGAACATCCGTTTCACAGATGACAACGGATATGTTCCTTATGTCGTAAATTCAATCCCGTTCCCTTTTCCCCGAAATTGATGTACCGACATAGACGAGTTTGTACTAACTTGAGCAACAAGACGGGTGCCACTTGTGGAGCAGGATCTGCTTACCCTACCGGAGCATCTGAGATCACTCCTAGTTTTTGATGGGGTAAGTGTTGCTTAGTATTTGGCTTTCTGTTTTATGTTTTGTGCACTATTGTTTGTCTATTTGTCTTTTTCTTCTTTAATTGTGGCGTTGTCTATTTATATTTGACTTATGAGTTTGAATGTACCTTTTGTATATTTCGCATCTCAATTAGCTTCCTAAAAACTTTAATGAAAAACTGTTAATTGAAGACGCTATGTTTATTATTATTTTGATATATTAAGTTGTAGAAAATATATGGGATATCATTCATTTACAGATTACCAGTAGGCCTCTATACACTTGAGTACAGTGCTATTAACGCAAAGATGTGTCTGTAGAAGAAGTTTTGCATAACAGTCCAAAGAGGAAGTAGAAAAATATACATTTATGCATTAACAGTTTAAGTAAAGAGCAGAGAATTATACTAACTTACTTACTCAGTTTGATTGTCCAAAGAAGCAAAATACTTTTGGTTTTGATGTTCATATATTTCTTCAAGATTGTTAATAGTAGATGATCTAGAATATATCAGTACATTTTTTTGTTTGTTTCGAAATTAGACTTTGCGGGGGGTTATCGGTAATATTGAAATCAATCATTGGTTTGATAACAGTGTTTACAGTATTTTTTATAGTTCTGGTAAACTATTAAATGATTTAAGTAAAAACATCCGTATGAATAAAAATATGATAGATACCATGATTTAAAGTTCGGACGTCAGACACGCGTTTCGTCTACAAAAGATTTATTATCCTTTTATGTTTTAAATATCAATATAAGCATGTTGCGACAAATTCGGTTAAGAAATTTTGTCAAATTTAATGGCAGCAGAGAACAAAGGTTAGACTTTCCGACAAATGGTGTCTATATATTCATAGGTGAAAATAATGCAGGTAAAAGCTGTATTTTTGAAGGAATAAGAAGGTGTATGCAAACTGAGTTGAACGATACAGTGTCAGCAAGACACAATTCTGACAATATATCTTATGTTATTTGTAAGTTCGAAAAGGCAAATTCTGACATGCTGACATCATGTTTTATTTCGTACAAAGACGGCACTGATGCAACCATTCGCAAAATAGTTCTTAACAAGAGTGATGATGGAAATATTATTACTCATTCCATCAGTCGCAAAATGGACAGTAGATGGGGGTCATTTAAAGAAGTAACTTTGTCAGATGACAAAGATAGACTTCATAAAATATGCTCTCAACTTTTGGATGTCAAAAACAAAGACGAAATCGATTTAACTCACTTCATTGAATTCTGCAAAACCCATATAAGTGATAACAATGACATTCGAATCTTTGATCGAGCTTTCGAAAATATAAATTTTGAAACAATTTTTGCTAACAGAGGCATAAGTCCTATTCAAACTTCTTGCCAGATACCCTTGATTGAAAATCAAAACATATACAAAAGTTCAAACGATCTGGCATACGTGATAAAAACCTATTTAAATGACCCCGATGAAAGTACAGCTGACGGTAGTGAATCACATTACTTCAGATGTTTGACAGAACCCCAATCATACAAATTTGAGTTCAAAGATAATACCAATAAAACAGAAATAATGGTAACGAGCAATAACGATGATAAACCATTTCCGATACTCAAAGCTCCGGAAGGTATCTTAGAAGCCAAGATGATGTCGATTACATTATCGAATAAAAGAACAACGACTCTACTCATTGACGAACCAGGAAGGGGAATGCACCCGTCAATGATTGACTGTTTACGAGATTTAGTCTTGTATGATGTCAACAAAAACCAAGTGAAGACTGTTATATTCACCACTCATAATCAAAGATTTATTTGCCCCTGGACATTTGAGAACATATTTTATTTCTACTCTTGTGAAAGCGGGTCTAAAGTTGTACATTTAGAACATGCAATTAAGAAAAATGAGGTTGATAAAAAGGAATATTTATGGAGTGATCAGGTGAGTCCTATCTTGTTTTCAAAACGTGTAATTATGGTGGAAGGAGAAGACGATATTAGATTTCTAAGTACCTTAAAAAATGTTCTGTTAACAGATGAGATAAGACGATGGTTAGTTTGTAAGGAAGATCCTGAGACTGATCTTAAATTGAGAAAATTTTTAATATCTTTGCATATTGTCGCTATGGGAGGCAAAGGTTCGGCCAAGGGAATAGAGCCTCTGTGTAAGGCTCTCAATCTCACTCAGAGAAAACTGCGTTACTATTTGTTTGATAGTGATGCACTTAAGACAATAAAATCTTCTATAATGAAAACTGAATTAAATAAGTCTGATATTGAGAATCAAAAACTAGAAAAATTAGAAGAACATGGTATTTTTGTTTGGTTCGGTTACACCGATGGAATTGTAGAAAAATTCGAAAAGCTATCAGTTATTGATTTATCCAATTATGGCAGATTGGAAGATGCATTACTTGAGTTTTGCAATACGCATGATAAGATTCATCATGACCAAAATAACAGAAATTGCAAACTAAAGGATTGTAAAGGTATGAACATATTTTTGAAGCAACTAGGATTAGATGTTGCTGATAACAGAAATCCTAACAAAAAAAAACCCATTGAGCTAAAAAACATCGATTACTTACAATTAAGAGACCTCACTACACGAATAATAGATGTAAGCATGAGACACGGGGATGGTTGTTCCTACAGGGATACACACTTCATGTGTCCTTTCAAACGTCTTTGGCAGTTCCTCATCAACCAGGCAAAATAATCGTACATAGGTAAATGTAATCAAAATATTCCTGTCGATTATTCTTCGTCAAACGATGTTTAAATTTCAACCGAATTATTTTTGCAGTTAAAAAGGATAATTATTATGACACGTTTTTGGAAACTTTTAGGAGCATAACACAAATAAAATAATTAGCAGAAGAGTAAAACCGTTCTGACAACACCTTTACCTAGGAAAGATTATTAGTTTACTAGTGTTTGATATATAGTTTCAGAATACTTAAACTGACATTGTTGATCAAACTGTATCACTTGAATCAACACACTACAGAATCACCAGCTATAATATTGATTTCCATGCGCAAGATAAACAAAGTTATGACAAATGCTGTTAGTCAAGATTAGTTGCACTGATGATTCAATGATTTGAAATCAAAAGTCACTGATCGTATACAGCAAATACAAGTACATATTTTTTGGCATATTTTTTCTATTACTCAGTGTCATTTAGGTCATTTGGTTTCTGTGTCCGCGTCACGATATGTTCACGTCGACCTCTTATCTCTTAAAAAACAATTTATGTCTGATACATTTTCACCTGTATATGGTATAGTGTTACATTAGGGAATGACCAAAATAGTGTCTAGGATATTTTTAAGACAAACGCGTTTATTGCTTGAATCATTATCATATTATTAGATTGGTGTATAACCTGTGTTTAGTTCTAGAATCATTATCATTGTCTATTCATGTAATAATTAATATTAAATTTTACACAGAGTTTTTCATTTTCCTTTTTAATCACTGTATTTATCCAATATGAGCACGTTAATGTTTTCTTCTTTTAGTGTACTTGATTATTACTTGACGATATTGCTAACAATATTTGAATAATTAAAATTTGTTAAGAGTTTGAAATACATTGTACACATTTGTAATGCTACACTTATACATTTGATATATAAAAGGAGAATTTATGATAAATGTTCAAATTTGTACTAAAACTAATTATATTTCAATTTTTGTTTTGGCTCCTTAAATCCGAAAATCATGAAGATATATTCATATCATTCAATATTTTAATATTTGGTCAATTTATAGGACCAATAAGTACCTTCTCTTTTACAACTGTTTATACATTTCTAAGTGCTCAATGTTTGAGAAAAAACAAATGCGACATTGATAAATATGTTTGTAATATCAAAACATGATCAATAAATTACAAATGTATTGTAAGATTTGTTTCTCTTATCTGATTATGCAAATTCAAATATAAGAGCTGGTTTAATTGTAGTATTTCAATGTAAAATAAACCCAGAACTTGTGTCTGCAAACAATCGAATATTCGTTATAACAAATCATAGTAACTATTATATGTTCTTATTTTAAACACTGAAAATACAAAATAAAATCAAAAGTTCAAAACATGATTTATTGTGGACATTCAGCACGCGCATTGTCCTGCGGAACCCCATTTTTGTTGATTTTAGTCTATTTTGGAACAAAGCAGTTTCGATATTAATTGATGCTCAAATTCATTTATAATTTGCTATTGTCTAATTTGGTAATCAGACATGAAAAAAAATACAGTCATATTCAGTTATTATGAATTAATAATCAGTCTGTCTACTGAAGGTATGCGTACTAGGTGTACAACGTATATATCACTTAGATTCTCACTGCCGCATACGTTTGTGTTTGTCGTAATAAACTTTAAAGGTTTACAACCCAGTAGAAATTGTATAACAAAACCCACATTACAAATTCATGGCGTACAAGGTAAACACAAGGTCCCTTCTTGGATGTTAAGAGACTCCCGTAATTTATTATTTTGTTAGTTAAAAATATGTTATTTCATATTATTTTCAAGTTTCATTTTCAAAAGTGAATATACTCACAATATAAAATTGAGAATGGAAACGGGGAATGTGCACTGAGACAACAACCCAACCAAAGAGCAGAAAACAGCCCAAGGCCACTAATGGGTCTTAAACACAGCGAGAAAATACCGCACCTGGAGGCCTTCGCCTGGCCCCTTAACAATAATATATACTAGTTCAGCGAAAATGGTCGTCACACTAAACTCCGAAACATATAAATGAACCAACATTAAAAATCATAAAGGACTACCAAAGACCAGAGGTTTCTGACTTGGAAAAGACGCAAAATGCGGCGAGGTTAAACATGTTTTGTGAGATCTCAACTCTCTACCTCTAGCCAATGTGGAATAAACAAACATACAGCAATACGCACAGTAAAACTCAGTTTAAAAGACGTCATAGTCCGATGTTAGAATAGGTAACAGAAGAAACTAAGCAAAATGACAATGATCAATATAAATTAACAAAGGACTACTAGCATTACTGACATGCAAGCACCAGACCTCAATTAAACTGATCGAAAGCGTATGCCTTCATCATATGAAAATCAAACACAATCCCTCCCGTTAGGATTTTAGTATCATACCATCATAAAATATACGAGAAGAACATAACCCGTATCAGGCCAACAACTGGTTTAAGAATAAATGTGTTTATTTCCGATGCAAAGACTCTATGAGTGAATCAATATCAATTCCAAAAATGCCATCTTTAATGACTTGACAACAGTATCGTAACTAAATCCCTTCTGAGTAAGTCTGTTTAAAGTTTTAGTTAGCTTTTGAGGTGAATGATATTTTTGTGCGTTGTATAGAATATTACCATAAAAGATGGGATGTGAAATACCTGAACGTCTGCACGTTGATTTATATTTTCAAATGTCCATGTACCGATGATAAAATTTAGTAAAAGTTTTGACAATTGTACGATATCGAAAACACTGGTGTAATAATTTTTCAGTAATTCAGAGATTTCTTTCGTTAAAATCAAATACGTTGTTGCATACACGAGCGCATCGAAAAGGTTGAGGTATATAAACACCATAAGATGGTGCCAAGGGAACGTCACCATCTAAAAATTGATATCTAAATAATGGAAATGAAAAATCATCTATTTTATCGTAAATTTTAGTACTAAAAAATGAAAACAACAGGTTATTAATTTAATGCGTCCGAAGCGTTTTTCTGGATTAACCTTCATCGGGAACGCTGAAAGCCGAATATTTGAAAGCCGAGGATGTATAAGAACCGAAACAGTTGAAGAGCTGCCCGTTAAAGATATAGATAAGTAGATCTAGGAAAGGGCAGTGTTCATTGTTAGTATTAGTTTTATTTAAATCCAGTTCAACAGGGTAAATCACGTTAGTGAACGTACTGAAGTCGTCATTATTGAGAGACAATATATCACCCAAATAACTAAAAGTGTTATTAAATGTGTATATCAGATGTTGTTTCGATGGATAATTGCTGATTTTTTTCAAAAATTGTAACTCGTAACAATATGGAAACAGGTCCGCAATAATTGGTGCACACTTTGTCCCCATTGGCATTCCGATAATTTGACGATATACGGAATCTCCATAACTACTAAACAAAAATATCTAGTAAAAATTCAAGTGCAGTTATCGTATCAAAGCAGGTGCAATTGACATAGACCTTTTGTTTGTTGTTACTAAAAATGACATAAAAGAGTTTGAACATATATATTCGCATTCTGACTTTTTAAATGCCCATTTAACAAAAGTTTAATTAGGTATGTATTTTTTTTCCTAGTGAAATTATGAGTCTTAAGTGGTATATAGGGGAGAAAAATCAAAACATTTTGAACAGATTCGAAATCACCAATATGAGCATGCAATTTATCAAGTACTTCCAACGAATATTTGACACTCCAAAAGTAAATAATTCCACTACATTTGTATTTTCAAAGGCATTTTTTGAACAATTTATTACCAGGTTTTTGATTGTACCAAGTGTACAAGTAAGTAAAATAGACAGTTTAATAGTGGAACTATGGCTTGAAGAAGGAATAAATCTTTATTTGTAAGGTATTTTGTGCAGCTTCGGAATTCGAAGCCAGTATATAGTGAGAACTTTCATATTATTCGGTTCTGCTTGTAAAGAGGTAGCTTATAGTTTTATTTGTTACAAATGTCATTTTCCGAAAATTGTTTCAGTTGGAATGTTGGTGAAATCGTGATTCCCTTTTGCAGAACCTCAATATAAAATTTACGTCAAACAATAATGTTATTATTGGCAGCCTTATCAGCCGGGACAAAATAAAATTATTGCCGAGTCCTTTTAGCTTACGTATATTTTATTTTGTTTTTGTTTTTAGTTTCTCTCATGCGATTGCGGTACCTTTTTGGTCAACTTTAATGTTTTGCGTCTAAATATGAATTGTAACACTTAATGGTGACTAAACAGGTTAAACAAATCCTTCTCAGGAAACAGAAAAAAAAACACATTGGAACAGCACTGCGTTTTTATTATCTTATTAATACATTTTTGTAATTAACTTTTTTTTATAATAAATTGTGTAATTAATATGATGTATGTTGCCATATTTGAATTATCTGGCAAATATGTATATACCAAGGCACAACAGATATATTGTATGGCAGAGGATGGATTGTGCATTTTTTATCAATTAAAATTGACTCACTTGGAAACTGATTTTTGAATAATTATGCTAATTGTATACAATCTAATTAACAAAAAGAAAACAACCATAAGCCGGAAACATGAAGATATGCGTTTGTTATGTTGTTGATGAAATAGATAAAACATAAAATGAATCGGTAAGAGGGATCCCGCTAAAAAATCTGCGGTAATTATGTTAACATTTTGTGAAAAGATTAGGAAGAGAAAAATCAAGGTAACAATCATTGTAATGCGTGAAAAACGGACACGTTCATTATATTATAAAATTATTAATGATAACGCTTCTGAGTACCTCCCAGACCTATTGACATGGACTGTCAACAAAGATATCAATTATAATTTGCGTAATGCTAATACATTTTACGTTCCACAGTGCAGAATAAGCCTATCTCAGAACTCATTTATTCCATATACGGTTCAAATTTTGGAATTATCCTGTCTCGTATATCAGAGAATTGTCTACACAGTATTTTCTGTAAGTCTACACTTAAAAAAAATCTTATTATTAAGAAATAGAATCAAAGGCGCCACATTATTCTTTGACTGGAACAATAATTGTGTATTTGTTTGTTTCTTTCAAATATCATACATTTCTGTTTCAAGTGTACTATGTTTAATATTGTCTTACACAAAGATTATTTTGTATCTGAGGTGACATCGTTAGAAAAAGAAAAATAACTTTTGTCTTATCCATTGCCCTTTGTCTTGTGTTCTTGTTCATAGTTTCTTAAATTCATTTAAAATATAAATGTCTTTCACTTTAAAGTTGCAAAACTACAGGCAGTATCTATAATACTTTTTCGCTATGTGGCTAAAACAGTTCAAAGAAAACCGCTGCAGACAAAGTTATGGCAATTCATCCTTCGCCAAGCCAATAAAATCTTAGACGATTGTGATGCCAATACTTGAGATTGGGTAAGTAAATTTATATGGATACCAATTTTGATTGGTAACATTAATTATCTTACTATGTACATAGAATTTAGTTCAAAATGTAGTAGTGAATATATATTCGTTAGAATCTAATATTTGGTGGAATGTCTATTTTGTGTTTTGTCAACTATTCTTTGTCTTTCTGTTGTTTTTTTCGGTTTTTTTTTTGCCATGGCGTTGTCAGTTTGTCATCGACTAATGAGTTTCAATTTTCCTTTATTATCCTTAATCTCTATTTTATTGTACTCCATACATTAAAGTGGTGAATGATAGTAACATTTGCTGTTTCTACTCTCAATCGATAGATTTACCTGGCACTGAACACTACTGAAAATTCCCAAACAACTATTTTATCGATGTACTGATAAGAACGAAAACGTTCTTGACGCTACTGAATTGAATGCAAAGCGTTTTCTCTTAATTACCTGAGTCAGTACCGAACTGTACTGGATCTCCTGCGCGGATCAGGGTACTGAACACGTACTGAATAACTGAAAAAGATCTTGACATTTTTTCGTGCGGTAATTTCAGGCATTTAAGAGTTGTTCAGTTTAAAATGACCGTTTCAGTAATAAAAACAGTTACTAGTGCGAGATGTGCCTTTGTCCGTGAAATGGACCTCCTAGGGTATATTAACCATAATTTATTATTAAGCCAATACGTATTGTAATACCTCGAATCAAGTAGTCTTCCTTTTTGTCTACATGCATACATGGATTATTATTTATGTGTATACTTCCATTGCTGATTCGATAACAGTATCCACATTATCAATGTATGATCTATGACTTCACACTCGTTTTTTCATCCTATCTTGTTCATTTCACCGATATGTACGAATCTGCAAATGTTACACACTTATCTGTAAACGAAATCAGCTGGTTTGTTATCTTCCGGGTATTTTATTATTGTAAAGCAAGATAAATTATTTGATTTTATCTAAATTGAAAAAAAAAAATCAGGTGTTTTTTCGTCATATTCCAGGGGTTTTATGGAAAGTGATGGCTGTTTAAGAAAAAGCCGGTAAAACGTTTTTAGTTAATGTACCTGGTGAGGTGAGCAATTTCTGTTTTTTCCCAATAAGAAACATACACTAATCTGTATTAGAATAAACGATATAAAATCAAATGAATGATTCATCACAGTACTATATCCGAATATTATTGTTTCTCAAACAATGGCTCTTGGCCAAAAGAGCATTAAAACCAGACACATAAATTGGATGATCGAGCAATACGAACCCAACCAAAAACCAGAATGAAATCAGATTATCCGGAAAGGAAAGTACTTATTGTTCTACTATTGAAACCAGTCGTGTTATTCATGATTAGTAAAAAGCCGGTTTAAAAACGAAAACGCAGGAAGACCACAATAGGAAAATTGAAATAATGTCGTCTGTCGTGAAGATTAATTCCAAACAATTTCGAGAAGTAAGTCAGGGGATGTAGCTGATCATCTAGTAAACGTGTTATAGTTTTTTTTTTATCGATAATTGGGATAAATTTGATCAAAATAAGACACCATTATCACAAAAAAATGGATAAAGTGATAGGCTGCTGGTATCATCTTTAAAGCGGTAAGTGACGTTTAACGGAACGATAGCTTCTATCTTATTTTCTCGAGAAGCCTCTGTATTAATTATGCCTCATACGAATACAATAATATGTCGGCTTTACGGAATACAATCGGTTCCCATAGGAATACAGACTAGAGTCTGTTTGAACTGCAATATTTTAGAGGATGAAAAACATGTACTTTTAAATTGTCCATTGTATGAAGATCTAAGACATGCTCTGTTTATTGATATATTGTGTCATAATGATATGTTTTTAAACTTGTCTGATGAAGAAAAATTTATATATATGTTTAAAAATAATAATACGTATAATATTGTTGCCAAAACCTGCAATAACATTTTAACAAGGAGAAACAGTATTTTATATTATTAACTATTTGTAGTATTTTATAAAATGAATTAGTATAGATATGTATTTTAATAGTCTCTCATAATTCTTTTAAGAATGGCACATACATATATTTTATTGTTTTAAATATGTTTACAGTATATTTAATTAAATAATTGTATCTTGTTTTAACTATGTTGTATGTGGTGAGACTTTAATAAACTATTGAACTGAATCTGAATCTGTAATTTAGGGTCCCATTAATGTTAGTGTTTGTGTCAATCAGCGTGTTATTTTATATACTAACAAAATTTTAGTTCTTATTTTCATCTTTCAAATCATGTTAAAAAAGCAATACGGTTTTATGGACATCTGTACAAACGTATCCGCAGAAACTAGCGACGGAGGTTATAGTGGAATAAAGGACACTTAAACATGTCGTGCGTACGACGCGATTTACCTTCACCAGGAACACTCAAACCTAGACATGCGAAATCTAGGGATGTATAAACAAGTCATACTTTAGGAGCTATATATATGAAAAAGAGATACCTAAAGAGAATATCCAAATCCATCTAAAGTCAACTTTGCACGAGGGAGTTATATTAACGTATAGAAAAGATATCAGTTTGTTAATTTGACAACAAGTAATATTCGCCGAGAAAAGAAAATAGAAATAAGTTTTCCAAAAAAGTGACATATTTGGTTCGCAAAATCTATGCAGATGACACATTTGTGATAACATCAGCATAACCAAATGCCTCTGACTACGCAGTTTATAATCACATTATAATCACATCTCTTTTATAGTTGACCTGTTCCTTACATGACGTTAGTGCAGTGTACGTAAGGTCGTGAAAAAGAATCAGATGAAATGATTGTACAGCATATTAAATCGTAATAGGTAAATTATTATTCAGGAAAAGAAATTCACTAATTTTCAATTTAATTTATGATTTTGTGCTGAAGTGTCTTAAATTAAGAGTATTTCTGAACAACGTTAACTGCTTTATACCTTGACTCACGTCTTTTAATCGAAATTGTTTATATTTTTTTCAATCTTAAATAAAATACATTTAATGATTGACCACATCAGTTCTATATCAAGAGATATAACCGTTAACCCTTATCATTTGCATACATAACATTATTTATAAAGCCAAAATTAGATTACTTACTTTTTTGTTACTGACGCGGTCAGTAATAGAAGAGGGACGAAAGATACCAGAGAGACAGTCAAACGCATAGATCGAAAACAAACTGACAACACCATGGCCAAAAATAAAAAGACAAACAGGCAAAGAATAGTACAGATGACACAACATAGAAACCTAAAGACTAAGAAACACGAACCCCACCAAAAATACACTTAACTATGGTAAAGGCATGAATGATGTCACCAATACACAGTAATAGATTTAGTTTGTTCAACTTGACGCTTAACTATGGTAAAGGCATGGATGATGTCACCAATCTTTACTCTGATTGGACGAAAATACGGAATTGAACAAAAACCAACGAAAAAAAGATAAATGCTACAAGAAAAGGAAAACATTACGGACATACAATCAAACTTATACATGAACTTATACAGATAAAACAAAATAAATTCAGGCAAAGAAGGTGTCATTTTCACCACTGTCAAATTGTTTGGATGTTGCCTGTAATAAATGAGCAGGTAAACATCACCGACAGGTTCGTCATATCAAGAACTTTTATAGTTTATCTAACTTTATAAACCCTTGATTAGATCTACACTTGAAGCTAATGCTGGCCAATTAGGCTCTTAATAGCTCGTGTGCTATAAATATATCTTATTGACTTTGTGTACTTGCATATGCAGTCTAAAACTTCAAAAGCGTAATAATAAACTCAAAAATTATAAAATATTATATTAGTACTTGAAATAAACAATGTCAAAATACATATATCGCAAATTTAATCACTTGTCAAAGGCTGAATTATATATAAATCTTCTCCCTTTTGCGTCCGTCCGTCCTCGATACACACACCGACATAGCTATAGGTAGTATGTGTTAAAGTTGTGCTTGACATATAGTTGTTATTGACATTTCTTCATGGTTCTAAACTGTGTCAAGTCTGTTGCATTACAGATTGCAAACTAATAATATCTTATGGTTATGTCTATTTCACAGCTAGGAACTTCTTCATCTCTGAAAAAAAAAACACATATCATATGTTTAGTTACGTATAAGTATATATTTTAATTCTTTAGAGAAAAGAGCATATAACCAACTTTCATAAACGTCAGCCGTCAAATTATGTGCAATTATTTAACTATGATAAAAAAAAACTGATAGAGATTCATGGTTTGTTTTAGACTTTATGCTCACATCTGAATGCGTCAGATATCTTTTTTAAAATATAACAAATCTGCAAGTGGAATTGAAGAATTTACTGCCAATTTAATGCCACTTAAAAAGTATAAAAACAATTCAAAAACAAAAAAAAACAAACAAAAAAATATGCATCCAGGGAATTCAAGAAACGTATCAATTACATAACCCCGCATTCGTACAATTTATTCTTCGGATTGATAGATTGATTGATTGTTTAACGTCTAGTGACTATGTCATGCATATTCAGAACGAGAACAAATTAATAATGAATACAAAAGGTAGGTCCTGTGATAAGGATCGACCGAAGTGAAAGACGGGAAATTTGGAATGCCACTGGTAAATGAGGCTATTGGATAGAGATAGAAATTTAGCCTTGCAACAGTTCACCTACGAATCATTCAAAGAGTATTTGCAAATGTTCTCAACGTGCAAAGAGAATGGTAACGGTGTTGAAGTTCTCATTCTAACCAGACGTGGCTGCATATATATACATTTCTCACAACCAAACGGACGCCCCACTTTGACCAGTGTTTTACTGCCGGTTGGAAGAATACAAAAAGCGACCATATTACTCCTTTGAGGTTTCTTCTCCTAAGTACTATTGTTTGACTTAATATGACATTTGACAAAATAGGTCTTTAAGCTTTCTAAAGTCCTCAACTAAACTGTTAATTGAAGACGATATGCTAATTGCCATTTCAATTTGTTAAGTTGTAAAACAGTATATGAGATATCATTCGTTTACTGATTTCCTATAGGCTTCTACAATAGAGTCGACACTTTTTAACGCAAAGAGGAGTCTGTCGAAGATTGGCATAGCAGACCAAAGAGGAGGCCGAAATGTTTATAAGTTAACAGTTTCAGTAAAAGCAGAGAATTATAATTACGTACTGACTCAGTGTGATTGTCCAAAGAAGCCAAATACTTTGGTTTTTTTTTGTCCATATATTTCTTCAAAACTGTTATTTTTATATTTAGATTATTACAGTACAGCATTTTGTTTAATAGAAGACTTTTTTTTGGGGTCATTGGTAAATATTGAAATCAATTATTGGTGTGAAAACAGTGTATGTATATACAGTTTTTTCATTGTTATGGTAATTAAACAAATATAAACATCCGTATGAATAAACATATCATAGATACCATGATTTTGTACGTCAGACACGCGTTTCGTCTACAAAAGATTTTTATGTTTTAAATATCAAAATAAGTATGTTGCGACAAATTCGGTTAAAAAATTTTGTAAAATTCAATGGCAGCCATGAACATAGGTTAGACTTTCCGAAAAATGGTGTCTATATATTTATAGGTGAAAATAATGCAGGTAAAAGCTGTATTTTTGAAGGAGTTAGGAGGTGTATGCACACTGAGTTGAACGATACAGTGTCAGCAAGACACAATCCTGACTATATATCGTATGTTATTTGCAAGTTCGAAAATGCAAATAACGACATGCTGACATCATGTTTTGTTTCATACAAAGACGGCAATGATACAGTTTTTCGAAAAATAGTTCTTTACAAGAGTAATAATGGAAATATTATTACTCGTTCCATCAGTCGCAAAATGGACATTAAATGGGGATCATTTAAAGAAGAAACTTTGTCAGATGACAAAGATAAACTTTATAAACTATTCTCTCAACTTTTGGAAGTCAAAAACAAAGACGAAATCGATTCAGCTTACTTCATTAAATTCTGCCAAATCCATCCAAGTGATAATAATTCCATTGAAAACTTTGATCAAGCTTTCGAAAAAATAAATTTTGAAACAATTTTTGCTAACAGAGGCATAAGTCCTAATCAATCTTCTCGCCAAATACCAATCAATAAAGATCAAAACATATACAAAAGTGCAAGCGATCTGGCATACGTGATAAGAACCCATTTAAATGACCGTAAGGAATGTACAGATGACGGTAGTGAATCACAATACTTCAGATGGCTGACAGAACCCCAATCATACAAATTTGAGTTCAAAGATAAAACAGATAAAACAGAAATTCTTGTAACGTGCAACAACGATGATAAACCTTTCCCGATACTCAAAGCTCCGGAAGGTATCTTAGAAGCAAAGATCATGTCTATTACCTTATCTGATAAAGGTACAACGACTCTACTTATTGACGAACCAGGAAGGGGAATGCACCCGTCCATGGTTGACTGTTTGAGAGATTTAGTCTTGTATGATGTCAACAAAACCCAAAAGAAGACTGTTATATTTACAACACACAACCAAAGATTTATTTGCCCCTCGACATTTGAGAAAATATTTTATTTCAAATCTAGTAAAAGCGGATCTGAAGTAATAAGTCTAGGGAATGAACTTAGCAACAAAAAACTGAAGAGTAAGGAATATTTATGTTGTGATCAGGTTAGTCCCCTTTTTTTCTCGAAACGGGTAATTATTGTCGAAGGGCCTGACGACATACGATTCTTAGGCACTCTAAAAAATATTCTGTTAACAGATGAGTCAAGAAGAAGGTTAGTTTGTGGTGGAAATAGTGAATCTGAACATACATTGAGAAAGTTCTTAACGTCTTTGCATATTATCTCTGTGGGCGGTACCGGTAATGTAAAGGAGATAGAGCCTCTTTGCTCGGCTCTCAAACTCACTGATAGACAACTGCGGTACTACCTGTTTGATAGCGATGCTCTATTAACAATAAAAGCCTTAATAAATCTAGATAAGAAAGATATTGAAGACCCTAGTCTAGAAAAAATCGAAAATAATGATATCTTTGTTTGGTTCGCTTACGTCAAAGCAATTGTAGATAAGTTTGACGAACTATGTTCTAATGATGATTCAAAAAAGGATGGCAGAACAGATGAGCTAAAAAAGAAACGCAAACTGGATGAGGAAAGCAGAATAGAGAAGTTAAAAAAGGAGCTAAAAAAGTATGGCAGAATAGAAGAAGCTTTAAACAGTTTTTACAAAGTCCACGATGACAAACATCATGGACCCAACAAAGAGTGTATAATAAATAAATGTACTGGCATGGAAACATTTTTGAAGTCAAAACATTTAGATATAACAAAAAGTAAAATTTGGAACTCAAATGATATTTCTGATATAGATATACGAGAAATCGTTAAACGAATAGTAGATGTTAGCATGACATATGGGGATGATTGTCAATACATGGAAACGGTTTTCAAGTGCCCTTTCAAGCGTCTATTGCAGTTCCTTGTAAAACATGCAGAAAAATCTTACCAATAGAAATGTAAACAAAACTTTTAACATTCGACAAATGTGAAATACTGATGTCCGTGCATACGACGTGTGTTTCTCCAATAACTTGATCATGTTCTATCAAAACTTTAAGTTTTACAAAGAAAATTATACAAAACGTTTCAGGGTATGACAACCCAAAAGGCCTACAAAGAAAATTCCTGACGTGGTAAAGGCATCTCTTTATGTACAAAATGGTGGATTAAACCTGTTTTTAAAGCTAGCTAAACCTTTCACTAGTATAACAGTCGCATAAAATTCCATTAGATTGACAACAATGTGTGAGCAAAATAAAAATAAAATGAGTCAGTAAAATTCAGCAAATTTCCAACTTTCTACTTGGTGAATGATACTCTAAGATGCAGTCACTGACTATTTAAAACAAAATAGTCTAGTTAATAACGGTACCAAATGTTTAAGTTCAAGAAAATTGATGTTAACATCACCTATATATCTTAAATTCTCAATTTCAGTCTTGCTTATTTCCACTTGAATATTTAAAGAGTTATATTCTAAGGGAACGATAAGTGTGTTTTTCCTTCCTTTTTTTTTGAAACAAGTAGAAACTCCCGGTGAATACATTTACCCTATTTTCCGTCGGTCTTTGAATACAAATGAGTGTAAATTAATATAAATGATATATAAGGCTGGATGAAATTTTGATTTCAATTGATGAAGCAAGCGAGCATTCAATTAGTATGTTAATGTATACGAAGTTCAACGTTTGCCAATATGCTTAAAATGTACATCTGATTGTCTTAAATCTTAAGATTATTGCGATTATGAAATTCACAGTTATCCGTGCAAAACACAGCTGACGTTTTGCCTTTTATTTTTTTTTTTGTAAGATCATTGAATTGAACAGAAAAAAACTTACTACTTATTACTATATCTCAGCCTTTTTAAATCTTATATTTTACAAAATATTTGCATGCATTGAAAAAATGTTTGACAGACAAATATGTTAGGTTATAAAATAGTTTAGGTTGGCGAAATGTATGGGTACGCTATCTTTTACTAGCGTTGGAAATGTATGTGAAACAAGAACTTTACACAAGGCTACACTTTCATTCCATTAGTCTGTAACATATGATAACTATTTTAAAACTCATCATAGAAAAACATTGGGTGTTCTTAAACATGTTAAATAACAACCTTACTTAGATTAAATTGTGAGATAAATACGTAGGTTTATGAGGTCGTGCAAATTCCCGTTTTTTCTTTTTCTTTTTGTCTTCGGTGTATTTTTTCTCTTCTTCTTGTTTTCGGTGTATTTTTTTAGTAAACTATTGAATATTTCAACTTATGATGAAAATTAGCAACTGCAAAAGCAGATGATATATTTAGTATAAAAACAGGGAGCAGTTTTAAAAGTATCTTGAGCAAATACTAGAAAATTGGAGAAGTTGATTGTTTGTTTGTTTGAATATTTATTTATTGTTTGTTAATTTATTTATTTGTTTACTTGTTTGTTTGAATGTTTATATGTTTTTTTGTTTTATAATGAACATTTGAATTTAACAGCATACGATGCTGCTAGTTCTATTTAATATATTGACATATTGATAACAAGATTTGAATAATTAAAATTTAGCAATAGTTTAAAGTACATTGTACATAATTGTAATTTTACATCTAAATGTATTCGATATATAAAAGGAGAAGGTACGATTTGTGGTCAAATTTGTACTAAAACGAATTATATTTCAAGTTTGGTCACTTAAATTCGAAAATAAAAAGGACATATTCATATCATTCAATATTTCAATATGGTCAATTAATACGACCAACATGTACCTTCTCTTTTACAACTCTTTGTAAATTTTCAATTGCTTAATGAAAAAATTTGCGATATTGATAAATATATTGTAATCTTAAACGTGATCAATAAATTACAAATGTATTGTTAGATTTCTTTCTCCTATCTGATAATGCTGAAAATACAAAATAAAATCAAAAGTTCAAAACATGAATTATTCTGGACATTAAGCACGGGCATTGTCACGCGGAACCCCATTTTTTTAAGTCTGTTTTGAAACAAAGCAGTCTCGAAATTAATTGATGCTCAAATATCATCTGTAATATGCCTTTGTCTAATTTGGTAATGTGGACATAACAAAAAGATACAAACAGTCATATTCAGTTGTCAGGAATTAATAATCAGTCTGTCTACTGAAGGTAATATGTGTCCATACTATGAATCAATTATATTCTCACTACATCATATTTCTAAACTGTAAATATTGACAACCCAGTAGAAATTGTATATCAAAACCCACATTACAAACGTACAAGGTAAACATAAGGCCGTTTCTTGGATATTAAGCGACTCCCGTAATTTACTATTTTTTTTTGGTCAAAATCTAGCACTAATTGTATATTTTTATTGTTGATATTCACCCCATATGTACCAAGTGTTAGATTAGTTTTATTGATATTAAAGAAATTTCTTGGTATTCCTAAACGGAAGATTTTATACACACAGAAGAAGAAGTATACAACAAAATTATTTTCATTTAACTGTGTATAATATGACGCAGGTTTCTTCAAAAGTGATGATTTTCTATATATTGTTTGAAATTTCACAGTGATATCATACTTTAACTTTGTTTAAACCTGTTTATTTACTTTTGACTTTAATTATTTATCCCTTGTAATTTTTTATTAACTGTGTATTTGCATTCAGATGTCACAGGTCAAATTTATTCGTTCATTGTGTGTTAATTTACGTTTTTTTATTGAGTTAAGCCTTCCAATTGATATTTTATAGTGTGTTTTTCTATGTTGTGATGTTATACTATTGATTCAGAAAAGAGAGAAGGTTTGGTACCATTAAAACGTTTAATCCCGCTGCAAATGTTTGCACCTGTCCTAAGTCAGGAATCTGATTACAGTAGTTGTCGTCTGTTTATGTAGTTCATACGTGTTTCTCGTTTCTCGTTTTTATATAGATTAGACCGTTGGTTTTTCCGTTTGAATGGTTTTACACTAGTAATTTTTTGGGGCCCTTTATAGCTTGCTGTTTGGTGTGAGCCAATGCTCCGTGTTGAAGGCCGTACCTTGACCTATAATGGTCTACTGTAACTTGGATGGAGAGTTGTCTCATTGGCACTCATACCACATCTTCCTATATCTATAAATATGTTATTTCAAATTATTTTCAAGTTTCATTTTCAAAAGTGTACATACAACAATATTCATGTAATGAAAATTAGAATTTTTACATAATGCATCTGAATAAAAGGGAAATTTGGGTATACATCAATTAGTCAGAAACCAAACGACAAAAAATGACAAAAAAATGTCTAAAGGGCAACATTCAGTCTTCAATAACAGACAGGTCTCTATACACTTTGTCAACCTCTCAATAGTCCTGCGTGTATGAGAGTTGCGAATAAGATTGAGAATGGAAACGGGATGTATAAAAGAGACAACAAACCGACCAAAGAGCACAAAACAGCCCAAGGAATGTAACAGAAATATAAAAAAATCTGCAAAATAAAAAAACATTAAGATATGACATGATATAATATATCTACTTATATTGATTGATTGTTAGTAATTAACGCCACTTTAAGCACTATTTGATATTTCACGGCGGCCAGTTTTTCTTGGTGGAGGAAGACGGTTACCCGGAGAGAACCACCAACCGTCGACAGGAAGAAGTTCTTAGCTTGGGATAAACACATGAGCATTTCGATTGTTTCGATTTTTTCCTACCCTTCAGTCGGTACAGTTTGAATATTTTGCTTGTAGACAATCCAGTCACTTTTTAGACAATTCAGAATATATACTGTTGCCGAGTGTAAACATCTAAGGTTTGTTCTAAAAATATACTGAACAGGTGTTAATTGACCGCAAGCTTGGTGCCTGAACAATATCTGATAGACTGAACACAAATTACATTCGATTAGAATCATACTTAGTAAAAGATTGAACAAAACAGTGTATAATTTAAATAATGCCATGCAGTACCGAAGCACATAGTACTGTACGTATTGTTCCATTGGTGACTGATTGTCCACCAGCAACGATGACGAACATCTGGTAGTTCAAAACAAATAGAAAAAGAAAAAAGAAAAACGGAGTACATATCAATAAGACAACAACCAACTGACACAAATAACCAAATATTTTATTATACAAAGGTTGGGTTGCTTATAATTGGCTTTCGACAGATGGGGGGGGGGGGGGGGGGGGGGGGGGGGGTAACATAATAATTACGTTCTTCGACTAGTGTATGTGCCACATATGGATTTATTAATCGCTCTAAAGTTGCAATTTAATTAAACAGACTAAGCTATACCATTGATACACTATTTTTTAAAGGAGCGAAGAAGGAAAAAAACTATATGAACTAAAGACTAATTGTGACAATTCTTTAATGTAGTATTATAAAAAAAAGGGGGACTATCGAAGCACATAAGTCGAGGAGGAATTGGCAATAAGTAAAAGACGAAGAAAAGACAAACAATTCTACAAAACACTACCGAGAATACTAAAAATTAAACTATTGTTTTATTTGTACTTATGTTTTTGTCGTCTAGTATCATAGAACCAAATTGGTTTTTATTTTGGGTTTCCTTCTTTTGAATTTGATATTCGACTAAGAGGTAAAGTGGAGAGGGTTGGGAGAAAATAAATTAGTTAAAACTCACCAGATGTTAATATGTCTGTCTTACATAAGGGACCATGTGAGTAGTTGTAGTTACATATATGTGTTGTTTTCCCTTTCATTGGCATGCTCTAGTGATAGACTGGTTCTCTGTCATTTATCTGTTTGGCTCTGACAGATATAAGGTATATGTTGCAAGGGAGAGGATCAGCCTAGCTCTAGTGAGTAATAAAACTAACAATACCAATTGTACTGTACCATGTCAGATGCACATTTCGACCAATAATATCTCTTCAGTGATGTTCGAGGCCAAAATATTTAAAACTTCTAATACAAACAATGAAGAGCTGATAAAACCAATAAAGGACCAAAAGTAAAGCTAAACCTGGACAAGGTGTCAGCGCTATGCATGAGGGAAATACATTCCTTAATTTAAAATGAATTCGAAAATTTATAACAGCAAATTTGATTTAAGCAATATCCGTATGTTTATGCCATAACCAAAGTACTGGCTACTTGGATTGTGATACCGTCGGGACTTACAGTCCACTAGCAGAGGTAATTCAACAATTGCTTGGACATAAAAGTTTTTAGAGATTTGTGTATGTATAGATAATTGCCAATTTTTTAAAGATCGTAATACGACTTGGTATATAAATAAGAAATTGTGTATTGATTGTCAATGAGACAACTATCCCAACAGTTACCAAAAGAGTTTATTCATATAGACTTGTAATACATAAAAAGAATATCAGGAACTACTAAAGATATTGGACAGCACACCAGACAACGCATACCACCCTCCTCCAACAAAAGAACAAACAAAAGCAAACAACAAAGAGCGACAGATTGTCTAGATAGCTTGACTTTAAACAGGCATTAGTTGTGGTAGTATTAAACAAGTTGTATGTGTAAAAAAACCACACCCGTTTGTAGATTTATATGTGAAGACAATCCGTACAACAGAACAAGATTATTATAACGGTATGTGCATTTACTGATTAACATAATGTAAAAATGCATGATGTGAAAGCCCGACGGAAGTTTAAAAACAATAAATTCATACTGACACCTACAGCACACCTCAAGTATATTGATATAGAACCAATAAAACCGACAATAAATACATACTGACATCTACAGCACACCCTAAAATATACTGATATAGAACCAATAAAACTGACCATCAATACATACTGACACCTACAGCACACCTCAAGTATACTGATATAGAACCAATAAAACCGACAATAAATACATACTGACACCTTCAGCCAATAAAACCGACCATCAATACATACAGCACACCTCAAGGTACTGATAAAAAACCAATAAAATTGACAATAAATACATACCGACACCTTCAGCACACCTCAAGTATACTGATATAGAACCAATAAAAACGACCATCAATACATACTACAACCTACAGCAAACCTCAAGTATGCTGATAAAGAACCAATAAAATCGACCATCAATAAATACTGCAACCTACAGCACACCTCATGTATACTGATAAAGAAAAAAAAAATCGACAATAAATACATTCCGACACCTTCAGCACACCTAATGTATCCTGATATAGAACCAATAAAACCGACAATAAATACATACTGACACCTTCATTTCACCTCAAGTATACTGATATAGAGCCAATAAAACCGACAATAAATACATACTGACACTTTCAGCACATCAACTATACTGATATATAACCAATAAAACCGACCATCAATACATACTACAACCTACAGCAAACCTCAAGTATGCTGATAAAGAACCAATAAAATCGACCATCAATAAATACTGCAACCTACAGCACACCTCATGTATACTGATAAAGAACAAAAAAATCGACAATAAATACATTCCGACACCTACAGCACACCTCAAGTATAATGATAAAGAACCAATAAAACCGACAATAAATACATACTGACACCTTTAATACACCTCAAGTATACTGATATAGAACCAATAAAACCGACAATAAAACATACTGACACCTTCAACACACCTCATGTATCCCTTATAATTTTTATTAACTATGTATTTGCATTCAGGTATCACAGATCAAATTTATTCGTTCATTATGTGTTAATTTACGTTTTTTGATTGAGTTAAGCCTTCCAATTGATATTTTATAGTGTGCCTCTCTATGTTGTGATGTTATACTATTGTTTCAGAAAAGGGAGAAGGTTTAGTACCATTAAAACGTTTAATCCCGCTGCAAATGTTTGCACCTGTCCTAAGTCAGGAATCTGATGTACAGTAGTTGTCGTCTGTTTATGTAGTTCATACGTGTTTCTCGTTTCTCGTTTTTATATAGAATCGACCGTTGGTTTTCCCGTTTGAATGGTTTTACACTAGTAATTTTTGAGGCCCTTTATAGCTTGCTGTTCGGAGCCAATACTCCGTGTTGAAGGCCGTACCTTGACCTATAATGGTTTACCTTTATAAATTGTTACTTGGATGGAGAGTTGTCTCATTGGCACTCATACCACATCTTCCTATATCTATG